AAAGTAAATAAATAAATAAATATGTACCAGCTTAATAAAACAGAGGCTGAGGCTCTAAATGTCACTCAGAGGCCTCCCATTTCACTCAAATGTCCGTTTTTTCACTATTTAAGAGTTGTTCGACTTTGCTGTCTAAGAGCTGGTTTCTGGGATCTGGCTTCCCTGATGGGTTGGTCTAGGGAAATTGAAAACAGGATTGCTTTGTCTTTCCTCACCTAATGTGCCTCCCCTGAGTCCATGTGATCAGTTTCCCCATGCTCATGCCTCAGTCAAGTGCACTACCACTGAGTTAGCTACACACCCCTCTCCTCAGTTCAGCTTTGGGTTAGTGGGAGCTTTATATAGTAGAAAAGTCTCCTGTACATCCTTTCAATTTGGTCCTCTTTTCATCTTTCCATTTTTTAATCAATGTCACTTCTCCTTCTTTTAAAGTGCTTTTGAATTCTTTAAAGGGTCTATGAGAAGCGAGAAATTAAAGTCAAAGGGATCTCTGTCTCCCTCAGCCCAAATTCTGCCCTCCTCCCTTCAGACCAGAATTCAGGCCTCCTGAAGGAAGGGCTGGGCTTCTGGCCACACAGCTGTGGCACTGCAGATCCCGCCCAGAGCACAAGTCTACAGCTCTCCCTTTACAACTCATTGTTTTTAGTAATCGCCTCCTTGCACTCAGATTTATCTGTCCTTAGTGTGTCTGTCCACAGAGCTCAGAAGACATTACTGAGCTGTTAGCAAGAGAGAGGAACAGAAACCCAGCAAGGGGCAAGAAGAGTGAGCTGTCTCAGGGATAGAACCAACTACCAGCTCTTAGGCTGCGGAACACTGAGATCTAAGAAGTGTGGCAATACTTGGCAAACATTTCATCTTGCTGGCTCCTAGACACACACACATAAATAATTTAAAACACTTTCAGTTTCTTCTTCGGTTAAAGAAAAAAACAATAAAATACCCTACCAACTTTTCAAGTGGAAAACATACTCCTCAGCAAGCGGTTTCCTGGGCCTAAATCTAGGGAGACTGACTCAGGCTTGATTTCCTCCAAAGGGCCTGGGATTTTGTTTCCCAGTTTCCTGTGACCCTTAAGACATGAAGGGAGGCAGGATGGCTGAGACCCTAGGCCACTCTGATTGGCTCATGGATGTGGTTCAGTTCCTTATTCTTATCCTGTACAGCCCTCACTACCATCCTCATCAAATCTATTTGCTCTACTCTACTTAATTTTAATATGAGATGCACTAATATGCATGAAAAATTAGAGGCACAGATGCATGTACCTCCACCGAGGACTGTTAATAACAAGATGTTTCCACTTCAAAGGACTACAAGACTATTTTGATGTCCAGTCCTCTGATGCTCTGAAAGCTTTCCTAAATGGATTTGCTTCTTTTTTTCCTTTTTGAATTGCTCATTGCTGGTATATAGAAACACAATGGATTTTTTTATGTTGATGTGATACCCTGCTGAATTTGCCTAGAAGTATTTTTGTGTATGGATTTGGAATTTTCTGTATACAGGATTGCATCAACTGTGAATAGAGATAGTTTTAATTCTTCCATTCCAATTTAGGTAGTTTTTTTCTTCCCAGCCTAATTACTTAGGCTGGAGCTTTCACTGTTGAGTAGCAGTAGTGAAAGGAGGTACCCTCCTCTTGTCATTCATCTTATAGAAAAAACTTTTAATCTTTCACCATCAAATGTGATGCTAACTATGGATTTTTCATAATTGCCCTTTGTCATGTGGTAAGAATTCTCTTTGGGGCTGAAGAGATGGTTCAGCAACTAAGAGGGCTGCTCTTGCAGAGGACTCGGGTTCAATTCCCAGCACCCACATGGCAGCTAACAACCGTCCGTAACTCCAGTTCCAGGGGATCCAGTGCCTTCTTCTGACTTCCTCAGGCATTGTAAGGCATAGGTGCACTTACACACATGCAGGCAATACAAAAAAAAATTTTTTTTTAAAGAATTCTCTTCTACTTATAATTTTCTAAGTATTTTTGTTGGGAAAGGGTGTTGGATAGAGCACGTGCTCTTATAGCTTGTTTTCTTTCTTCATTTTTGTTAATGTGCTATATTGCATTATTTTTCTTATATTGAACCACTCTTGCATTCCTGGAATAAATTCTTCTGAAAGTTCTTTTTCTCTTTTTCCTATAATCTGTAGTCTCATGTGGATAAACCAGTGGTGAAAGAATGTACCTAAAGTTGGATGGACTGGATGCATCCTAATTATATTGTTTTCTTTATAATTATTGTACTTGAAACATTGAAAGTCTTTATTGCTGTGTAACACAAACTGGCCTCAAGCTCTCAATCTTCCTGCCTCAACCTGGGAATCAACCCAGCCATTTTAACCACTTTTAAGTATACAGTCTAGTGGAATTAAATGCTTCATATTATTGTGTAATCGTTACCACTAGCTATTTCT